AACGTCGACTGTGCTCAATGAGGACGCAGTCTGACCTCCTTAAACGGGATTTCCGTGAGTTCCATAAACTAGCATCAGTTGCATGTTTTGCATGTTTTTGACATATGCTTTACTTGGTTTGCTTTTGAATGGATTAAATCTGAACAGTTATTATTTTTTTAGTATATCTAATTTCTTTATGGCAGTCTTTAGAAACAATAGATTACAAACCAATAAATTCTACAATAATTTCCCATCTTCCCAAATTCCTGCTTTGCAAACTCTAAAACCAGTTTACCATTCCCTCTAATTAGATTAAATAAAATTGAGCAGTCAAATATCATGACCCCTGTCATACATTTATCATACTATGCCGCAGTAAGCTAACTTTTTTTTCAAATTTTTCAGGAAAAGAAGAAAGTCCGTGGATATCCACAGAAGTACCAGTTGCTCCCTAGCACGACAGAAATTGCGCTTAGCTTTGCCGATACAGAAAACACATGTACATGAACTTTAGAAACAGTCTCTTTATGAATCTATTCTACATCGTATAATACTAACATTTGTTGTAGTGTCTCACTGGTCAACCTCATGCTGCTTTAAGGGCTCAATATGTCTATCATTTTTGCAGCAAAGTAATAAATGAGTAAGGCAAGCGACTCTGTGTCTACATTTCGTCTTGATTTGGATTGTGAATTGGTTAAAGTTTCAAAATCAACCTTACAGCCCGGTGTCAGCCGCTTTAGACCGTGTTTAAATTTGGCGCCGCACGCCACCTGCGGCTGTGTGATGGTACTGCAGCTTGGTTGTCATAGTTTTGTTTACCCACTTTTGGGTATGTGTGCACCAGGATGTGAACATGACGGCAAAAAGAAAATCGCTTGTGTTATTGTGACGATGTAAGAAACCACAAACACTAGCACTCCTTTTCTGGTTTATTTGTAAACGTCTGTTGACTGTTAATTGTCCTACGGGACCCATATATATAATATATGGGTTGCTCATACAGTACCATCTAATATAGCATGTATATGTACGATTTGGAGATATTTTTCGTGCAACACATATCAAACCGCAGCGAAACGCAACGAATGCGGAAGTAACTACGCCACCGCAGGGCAAAAAAAGTCAAGGGTCTGTAAACCTGATTAAGACTTCAAATTATTTTAAAATATTCTGTAAAAAGCCCAGGAGGACAAGCGTTAAGAACTTTCATATTAAAAGCTAGGTAAAGACAGTGTCGAAAATCAAACCCTACTCCCTGCTTGACCTTGAGCCAGGTGCATTGACCCTCACAAAGTTTCTTTCGGGGTGTGACGCGGGCTAGGTACAGCCGTTGATTTCACCTAAAGTACAACAATGGACCTTTTTTGGTTGTCCAGCACAGTTATCAGTTTAACTTATGTTAACATGACCAGTTCGACCATGTCGGTGAAATGGCTGTATTTTTTTTTAAATCTTTTGACCGAGATATGCGGGATTATAAGAAAGGTCCACTTTGCTATATTTAACAGTGAAGAACTAAGACTATGTGTAGAAAATAAGATAGAGAACTGAAGAAAATAATAAGAAAACAGAAGAAAGGAAACTTAACCTGAAACACCCATGCGGAGATATACCTGGGTAAAAGAATCATACCAGGTGAGAGACGAAGAATGAATGGGGTCAAAGTGCACGGGAGATTCTTTTTTTGGAGCCAGGTGGCCGTTGACACAGACCGCACGGCCGAAGTACCTACATGTAAAAAGCCACAGATCGAGTCTATCATTTTGTGAAAAGTGGCATTTCAAATGCTCCTTGAAATAGTGAATGTGAATATTTTATTTGCTAGGTTAATAAAATACCATGAAGAAATACCAATCATTTGTTATGTAACCCACGGTTTAACACCAACAGGGTTTCGTACATGGTTTAACTGGAATGTATCAAGTGTAAACCAATAGAAATACACACATATATGCCACCGCACTGATAACCCTTCATATGTAACTACCGAGACTAGCCGAAGTCACAGCTCTGAAAGGGGATACATACTGTTGTGATTGATTATCAAGAAGATGTGTGACTTTGTGTTGTTTTTATGCGTATACTTTTCATTCGGAGTTAAATGGCGATTTTTTTTGCTGGACACCCATACTCTAAAATGTGTAACAAACAAAAGAGAAGAACCCACATCCCCCCCCCAAAAAAAAAACAAACGCTAAGATTGTCTCTACTTAGCCTTTAGGAGCAAAGGCTTTGGCTTTAGGAACTGGAACAGACGAATGTCTTTGATTGCTCGCAGATAGAAATCACTTAAACGTGTATTTCAGGATCACTGCCTAAGTCAACGTTAAACACCGCAAACACGCGAGGACGTTTGAATGGGTGACCCGAAGTAACCTCGGCGAGCGACCTTTGAGGTGTCTGGTTACCGGTAACCTTTTGGTGCCGTACTGAATTGCATAATATGCCTATTCACGATAACCCAATTATCAAACGTTGCTGAGTGTAGATTGCACTACAACATTGACGGTTCATATATATTCACAAATGGGTGTGAGCAAAAGGATCCACCACAGCAGCGAACGATACAAAGTAGCTAGAGAGTCTACCTTGGAATAAGTAACAGGTAGCTCTTAGGCTACTGGCAGCTCTTTGGAGCTGTTGTGCACCTATAAATATATATTTTAAGCGAAGTGCATCCTTATATTACCGGCATTTAGTTTGAAAAGCTAGTGTTTAAGAAAGGAATGGCAAAGGAGTACTAGGGGATGCAGAGGGAGGAGGTCATGAAACTGTTTTAGGGGAAAACCATGACGTTACAATGTAGCTGTTAGCCTCCCTGGCGGACACCTGCCTGGCCCTGTTGTCTAGCTAATAACATGCTGTTTTCTGACTACTCGAGGTTTTCACGAATAGCTCATAGTCTTATACAAGCCACCAGACCTCTGTAATCACCACAAAGCCCCGAGAAATTGGACAACAATACATAAATGCCAAATGAGTACGCCGCACAAACGGAGCCTGTAACGGTGCTTTATTGTCCACTGTACTTTCATTTTCGTAACGTTACCGCTTGTCTGACTATTGTCTACCGTACCAACAACCACAGGGAAAGAACATACAATCCACGCGACCATGGTCAACATGTATTACCAGGTGAAGAACGTTATTAGGGAATTTTATCATGTAGAGGTCAAATCTAAGCTTTTAAGTGTGCCGTTGTCGTCTGCAAAGGTGAGGCCCGGTCAACAAACATGGCTGCACAATGTAGCGGTGTGACGCAGGTACAATATATCTGCACCGTGTTGGACTTACTTTGTTAGTAAATAATCATTGCGCGGTTTGACTATTCAACGCATGTCCTATAGGATCAACTACAGACTAAAACTATCGGTATTTAAAAGTACCTACCTACCATTCATGTCGCCGGTACCATATATAAACATAAAGGTATGGAAGCCATCTTGAAAATGCACCTGTCGACAGCAAAGAAGTTTCGATGCCACTCATTTCCGAGAAACAACTGACAAATACGGAGAATTATGCGTAGCCAAGTTTCGCTCCTATTCTTTTAGAACTCCCAATAGGAATATACATGTGTGAGCCTGGACGTTTGAAAAATGCTCATTTTACAACGTATATTTTAACCTAACAGATGATTTTTGTTTAGAACGTAGGCCAGTGTCTAAGCAGGCAGCCATTTAATTCAATGAGGCTATTTGTTTATTAGAATTCTCCACAAGTATACATTTACAAGTTGCCCTCCCAGACACTTCAATGACACAATGCATTATATACAAAATCTATGAGTGATTAATGTAGTTAAAATTTACTGCTGTAAAACATAGAATGATTCTCCTAGTCTCACAAAATTTAGCTTGCTCAATGTTTTCCAAATCCTTCACCAATGGACTCCATTGATCTAATGATATAGAATATCCCGTTTAAACACAAGGGTTTAATATTTAGTGAACATTGTCTTTAACAACTATATATTGAGTGAATTTTCTGTACCGTTGTACTGGCCAACACCCATAGTTTGTCTTTTACGATGCTTATATGTTTGCAAAATGCTGTGTTTTGTAGGTACTGTGAAAAAAGTGTGAAGTACATTTATCCTTTTGATTAGAACACAAACGTTTTGTACAGATGTCTCCAGGCAAAATAATGCCGAACATCTACATACCGGGAAAGAAGGACAGGGCTATATATGATAATTCCTGTCAAGAATCAGCCACCAACTGATGCAAGACTGCAACAGTTCTGTGTGGAAATAGATGTGGGGTGGGCATGCCTGTATGTATTTTGGAAATGACGACGAAAACCTTGCCCCCATGTGTGCTCTGTAAGTTTCACTTTTGTACCTTCAATTATTTTGCTAGCCTAAGGTAAGAAAGTTGATGGTGAATTATTAAAATAATTGTATCGCATGGTACAATTCTAAAGCCCCCGTTGCTAAGTTTAGATTGTAAGGTAACATTTACGGTTCCCATTGTTTACATATATTTTGGCGAAAAGGAAAGCTTATGCTTAATAAAGCTCTCTTGCACATGCATGAAAGAGAAAACACAACAAGCCTGGCTTGAGTTGTTAGTTCTCTAATTATCATAATGATCGTAAAAACACTATAAAGCCGTCGTCCTGCTATAAGTCTATCTTAGTAAAATGTTACCTGTAAACTTGCAGTAAACAGTGTTATATTGTGGTGACATCTGTGTGAAATTGTACGAAAATTGTGTTCGGGTGGGGTAGGGTGGAGGGTGACATGACTTTTTTAATGGGAAAATTCTAACGCTAGCTATTAGCCTCCCTATCGGCCTCATGACGGCTGTTCTTGTTTAGCGTATGATTATACTGTTTATTGAAAGGTAGGGGTTTTCTCAAAAAGCTATTGTGCCAGGCAATCCACCATAGCATGGTGAACAGCAAAAAATCCCTAGCAACCGGAAAAAGGGGAAAATGTGCAAAACATTGTGCCGCAAACTGAGCCTGCTACACAAGATACGGTGATCTTTGCCCACAGTGTACATGTACAAGTGGATTCATTTTCAAGTTAACGCTTGCCTGGCTATTGCCGACTGTACCAAAAGACACAAAAGGAAAGAACCTTCAATCCACCTGACCATGGTCAACATGTATTACCAGGTACAATAACATTTTAGGGACTTTTGGGGAAGGTATTGGACAAGGCTAAGCTTTAAAGTGCTTAATTTCCGGGCACAAACGTGAAGCCCCGTCCGTACACAAAAATGGCCGCAGCGGTGTGACGCAGGTACTAAAAATTGAGCACCGTGTTGGACTTTGTTCGTAAATAATCATGGTACGGTTAGACTATACAGATATTTCCAACAGGATCACCTACAGACAAAAAGAATCGGTATTTAAAAGTACTGGCTTAACATGAATAGCTGTAGTACCCAATGTAAAACAAAACGGTACCGGTATGGAAGCCATCTTGAAAATGCACCTGTCAACAACAAAGAAGTTTCGATACCACTCATTTCTGAGAAACAACTGACAAGTACGGAGAATTATGCGTAGCCAAGTTTCGCTCCTATTCTTTTAGAACTCCCAATAACAATATAGTACCTGAGCGAGCATGGAAGTTTAAAAGATTCTCATTTTGCAACCTATATTTCAACCTACAAGATGGTTTTTGTTTGAACGTAGGCCAGTGTCTGATATTCATTGTAAGCAGGCAGCCATTTAATTCAGTGAGATTATTTGTTTATTAGAATTCTCCACAAGTACACAATTGAAAGGGAGTGCAAATCTTAAGCATGTGATTTTATTAATACGTTTACAAGTTGCCCTCCCAGACACTACAATGACACAATACATTATATACAAAATGTATGAGTGATACATGAAGTTAAAACTTAGGGCTGTACAATATAGAGTGATTCTCCTAGTCTCACAAAATTTAGCTTGCTCAATGTGTTCCAAACCCTTCACCAATGGACTCCATTGATTTAATGAAATAGACTATCCCGTTTAAACACAAGGGTTTGATATTTAGTGAACGTTGTCCTCACAGGCATAATTTTGTTACATGTACAAATGATACAACTATATATTGAGTGAATTTACTGTACCGTAACCAAAACCCATAGTTTGTGCGTCCTTTACAACGCTTACATGTTTGCAAAATGCTGTGTTTTATATGTTGTAGTACATTAGTACGAAGTACATTATTCATTTGATTACAACACAATCTTGTTGTACAGATGCTCCAGGCAAAATAATACCGAACATCTACATACCGGGAAAGAAGGACAGGGCTATGATAATTCCTGTCAAGAATCAGCCACCAACTGATGCAAGACTGCAACAGTTCTGTGTGGAAATAGATGTGGGATGTGCCTGTCTGTATGACCTGTACTTTGGAAATGACGAGGAGAACCTTGCCCCCAAGTATGCTCTGTAAGTTTCACTTTTGTACCTTACATTATTTTTGCCACTTCATGGTGAAAGATCATGGTGCATTATTACTATTTAGACATTCCAAATTTCTATACCTTAGATCTAATGTTAGCCTTTTATTATTGGTGTAACTTCGTTCTAGTACATTGTACATCCCTACATTTATCCCCGGGGAATGAACATGCAATAAAGGTTCCATATTATTTTATCACATGGTACCATTGTATAGCCCCTGTCACACATTTAGCCGAATTTGGTGTCCCGAACACTATCCGAACTCCCTCCAAACATGATTAGGAGTAGGTCGGCAGCAAGGTCAGTTTGGTCGACTAGTGTTTGACTACTTGTATGTTTCAAACATACTGCTGTGGACAGGAGGACCGACTATGGCCGATGGATTGGCCTCTACCAGGCTTCAGGAGGCGGCTGGAAAGATTAGAAATCGGCCAAATAGAGAGATAACATGCCGTGGGAGTTTTTCTGCTGGGAGAGAACAACAGCAGCAAAATGTTCTCTCCCAGTAGACCGACTCACCTGGCATGTTATCTCTCTATTTGGCCAATTTCTAAACTTTCCAGCCGCCTCCCGAAGACTGGTAGAGGCTACGGATGGATGGCGTTCGCGGGAGTAGGGGGGGGGGGGAGGAGTGCTAAAATTTGACTCAAATTTAATAGTGGTCATGAAGTGAAAAGAGGTAGGATGTGGGCTAGCTGTTTGGGGAAGTATGGCGTGCAGTCGATGCCTTTTATTCTATTCACAATATTTACATGGTCGTTAGTCAGAAGTGAAAGTAGAACTAGAACTTATCCCGACCTGTTCGTGTTGCTAAATAAACTGAGAGTACTATAGCTTAAAATCTATGCTCATATTGTCTTAGACTAAGCTAAATTCCTTTTTTTCTAGCCGATCATCAAGGAGAATCATTGATACCCAGTCAATCCTATACCGCATCTTCGTACCCACTGACAACGACTCCAAAGTAGACAACGTGGACTTTGTTCCTTGGCTGTGGTAGTGAGTATTCAATATAGAGCGTTGTTATTGAAGTCTCGGTTCGCCCAGATAAATGCAGTAATCCTGTATAATATTCGTAGGTTAGGGATATTTTTCACATTGAACGCGTAATACCGCAGCCAAACGCACCGAATGCGGACGTAACTATGCCACAGCAGCTCAAAAGACGCCAAGGGTAAATGGCCTGATTAAAAGATCGAATAAATCGTGATTAAAAATGCGTAATAATGTCAACGGGACAAGAGTTAACTCTTTTATATGTTATACACTTATTATACTTTTAAATCACTCTGTATAAATCAATGTATACAAACCTACGGTAAAGTAGGTTTGTATATAACGCTGTGTCAAAGTTCCCCCTGTAAACAACGAAACCTAAAACATGCTGCACGTTTTGTTGCTCCTGAATAGTATCTATTTACACTCATTTGAAGATACAGTATAGGGACAGAATGGTGCTATGACCTTTAGTGAACATGGAAATGCCATTGTCTTCAAAGTATCAATTACAGCCTCATGTACTCGTATCACCTTGCAGAGGTCACTTAACTCAACGACATGGGACCTCTGTTCTAAACTAAACAAAACAGATATGGGAAGGCGAAAAAACTGAATTTAAGAAACTTCTTATAATCTAGAAAAATCTCATAGGAATTTTATCGCTGGACTAAATATACAAGCTTCTACCCTCTACCGACACTGGCTGCCACAAGCCAGGGGTAGTGTCAGTGGGAGGATGACTAGACAACATGCAAAACTTGACCAATTGCCAGCGCGCACAGAGCGGTACAACAGAAGTACATTACCGTACCTTGTTCACATTTTAAATCATGAATAGTCTGTGTAAATGTATGATTTTAATATGATTTAATGACTGTTTTTACAGCACGGAATGATGATCAGGATTTTATTTCACTGTCTAAAGCTTTTATTCACGCAATTCAGCCTTGTGGCTGCCTAGTGATGGAGCTGTATTGTGATTTGTGTTTGAAATGAACCAATGATATAAATGAGCAGTCGTTTTTTATGGAATGTGGTTTGTTTTGTAGCAAGGACAACAATGGCTGTGACGTCACCATTCTGTCCAGCCTATGGTTCAACAGCCAGGTGGGAGTGGACAACATCATCATGGCGCCGCTCGGTCAGGAAGGGGTCGTGTTTGTGGACATGGCGTACACTGTGACAAAGGTGAGATTTCTTTGTTGACATAATAACACACAATCATTCACTCTCATAGAGACAAAAATAGGTGGGACACTTGGCTGGGTTCCAAGGTAAGTGTGGCACTGGGCCACAACAACCAACTTCGGGCAAAGCACAAGGCTGTAGTGGCAAGTTGTATTATCTTTTTTCTTTGATAATTTAAAATGCTCACATATGAACTTTGATAATTTTTCAATTTTGATTCATGATAACAATCAAGAAACAAATATGAATGGGCTTTCTTAGCCATGAAATTTAGGCCATTGGGGTCCTACGATCATATTCATTATTATTGTTGTTTACTGGTTTTATTTTTCAGTTTTGGAGTTATCCATGTGACTTTGTGTACTGTTGTCACTAATTATTGTATGTTGTCGTTCTTGCCATGCTTGTGCTTTCTACTGTTTTTTTTACAAAAAATGAACTTGAAAAAAAAAACAAAGATGAATAAATAAATCAAAAAAGATACCACTGACTATAATTTGTTTGTGTGTTTTGCATAACCAGTAAACAGCCTTTAGACGCAACACACTGATTTTGTACATGTACAAGCTGTATTGAATTTAAAATTTATAGTGATATAGTTTAACATTCATGCCTTTTTTATGGAAAGCGTGGACTGAAACTTACTGTCGTGATGGAGATGGAGGTAAACAAACAGAAAGCCATTAAGGACATCGCAAACAACTTTCTGAAGATACCCATGGTATGTATTTCTGTCACTGATGGGAAATGTTTATTTGAGTGACCCTAAATAATTTTTGTATTTTAAATTTTGAAAAATATTTGCCTTAAACCCAATGCGCTTATTTCAAAGACAGCATAGGTACTATATATGCTATAATATAATCCTAAGTTTTTATTAAATATATATCAAAATATTTTGAATACACGTGTTATGTTGGCAAAACAAAAAGCAGAAAGATTTGTTTCAATCTTAGACTGTACGGTTTTTTATGATACAAAACAAAACAGGCAAAAAGAATACTTGACTACAAAATGAATTTTTTTTCAAATTAGCAGGTTGGTTTGTTTGGTGTTCTGGTTTATTTTCAACACACATACCACTGCAGCCTTACATGGCTGATTTGGGGCACGATACACATTCATCATGAATGGTTCAGCAACTCGACAATGAAAGGTAAAACACCATTATTTAACCTTGAAATTCTGCAGCTGAACGGTGTGAAGTTGTCCTTTGTTCTTAGATCTCTGTCATGTAGGCTTCCACCTTTAGGTGGCAGCCACCTAGAGAAGGTGAGGGATTTATAAGCTATAGGCATTGCAAAGCTTACACAGAGGTTACGGCGTCTCAGGTACAAGGATGTAAGTGACAGTTGCTCTTTTGCTCTGCCATAACTTACAACGTAGTTTCTGTCTAGGATTTTCAGGGTGACCCGTTGGATCAGCTGGATAATCAGTTGGAGAACAATGGCCTTGAAGAGCCGAACACTAGTGACTCGCCTTTGGAGACCTCTGCTGTGCTATTACAGGTGATTATGGTAATCTCTCGTGATATGAAAAAAAGTAAATGAAAAGTAAATCTATTCAGTTTCTTTTGTTTGAATGTATTGATTGTATCCATTCAAGCTGCTTACCACATGATAACTTTTCCCCTTCCATTTTCAAGATTTCTATACTGTGTAAATTTAAACACGCCTGAGCAACAACACGATAATCGTCTTAACCTTGCAACAAAAGAATGAAGGCCATATGTCGTACCCTTTAGAAATGCACCCAGGCAATGGCTGACGTGGAGAAATGTACCGATGACAACTACCAGATCGTCACGCAACACCTGGACGAGCTCACCAACAGTTTTGGTGACGGTGCAGTCGACCAGCAGTGCCAAACTATGGCAAACAGCCAGGAGAGTCCTTTTGATCAGAACGTTGGTGATGAACAGGTGAATATCTTCTCTCTTTTGTTTGCATTTTCAACGAACTATTGTCTTGATTATGGCTTCTTCACCAAGGATGATGCAATATTTTATCCTGCTGTAGGTGGCGTCGTAGAGCGTTATGCTTCGCCCACCACCTATTGTATTGGGCGTCTTCAGGTAAGGTGGAAATGTATGCGTTTATATGCATGGCGCTTCATGCTACAGCGCTAAACAGTAGAATGTTTTTTTTCTGCAGGTACTGGCTGATGAGCTTACAACTAAGAAAAGTCAGCCTGAATCACCAGGAGAGGTCCAGTACATCATGCGGGTGCGTAGTATTTATTTTGATTATAGCAATAATGAAAAGATAGGTGTCTACACATTTTGACAAGGAAGCTTATATGGCAACACTACATAAAACAAAGACCGTGATATGAAATGGAAATGTCATCCGTTGATATAGTGTGTTTGTATGATGTACTATATGCTTAACTCCAGGAAGTCTAGCTGCATACTTGATTCTGTACTTGTATGTTTGCTCATGGAGGTTAATAAAACACCTAAAGCACCATCCGAAAGTATCTGTACATACAGATTATTTAACGCAGTGACTTAGCATACTTTATTGTAGAAGTCCAACAATGAAGGTTTTCTTTTATTAGGCCATGTTGATTTTATTATATGGATGACATCCTCTGGGAACCCCAAAACTGATGCCCGCGTGCGAATAAAAAAAAAGTTTTGCAAAAAAAAAAGTTGCTTTCACTATGAAATCTACGTGGTCATGAAGGTTGAACAAATGGCACAGAATATGTTGTGGCGAGTAATCTACTCTTCGAATTCATTTCTTTACATTTTTGTCTTTTTTCTTTGATTTTGGCATTCTACGACATTGGTATCGTTTCTAAATGTTTTCCTTGCAACTTATGGTATATTTTTGCTCATTTAGCAACTGTTTAGCACGATTTACAGTATGGTTGAAAACTTTTGTTTGGAAATGGCCGAAAATTCATGCGTGCGCGGATGTCATCCATATAATTAAATCAACATGACCTTATTATACCTGTTACCCGTGTGTGGTTACACTCACAGTATGAATAACATGTGAGGGTACAGCAAGAAAGCGTGATACAATATAGAATTTTCACCTTTTCTTCTTTTATGAATTCCTATTGAAATGTCGGAAATAACCCCCACCCCTATTCTGTAGGTTCTGAAAGACCAGCAGCAGATGCGGGATGAGAATGAGCGAGAAACTGCGCAACAGAAGCAAAGGCTGCAGCTGCTGATCCACGAGGTAGAAAAGCTGACCATGGACCAGCAAAACATCCTGGACACTATCGCGAAGGAAGAGCAAGACCCAGACATTCCAGATGAGACGAAGGGAGAAGCACGTGAAGAAAGAGTCGACCGTCTTGACACGTATACTCCTCCTATACAGGTGCCTTTTTTTTATTATCGAATGAATGCATGAATGGGTGGATGAATGGATGGATGAATGAATAAATGATTGTGTCTTACGACATTGTCGCCCAGCATATATTGGCTTATAAGACACCAATACAGAAGTCACATGATTGAAACATAACTAGAAAGTAAACATGAATCCACGTCAAAGGTCAACAGTCATCAGGTTATCTGAGTCTTTTTTTGTTTTAATTAGTAATAGTCTCAGAATATACAGGTACAATATTTTCACATTATACAATAATCTGTTGTCTGATCTATGCTTCATCATGATCACGATTTGACAATGCCACTTTGTTATCTATCAGGACACTGATGCGCACAACTACAAAGACCAGCAGATGCTCGAGTTTCAGAACCATCTACAGCGGAGGGCAGCCAAAAACACAGTCCCGCAAGGTCCGTCCCCTTACCTTTATATTAACACGGAATTACTCCCATATAAAGAATCAGAGCTATTGTTAAAATGAATCCAAATTACCTGTAGATAGCTGAACAACGTGTGACTGCTACAGGGAGACAGCTCAGGAACAGCAACATATTCACTTTGCCTAAAGCTAGGACTCTACGCTTGAAAAAGTCTTTTTTACGTATACATTGTGCAGTAAGACTTTACAATGAAAAGTGATCATGGTTGATATTTCAAAACCAATGTCTGTCCTTTCCTGTTGTAGATTGAATGGTGTTTGTAAATATTTGTATATAGTGTGTCTCTGTTTACTTGACGACTTCTTCTTTTTTTTTAAATTTCAACCAATTGTTTGTAAAAAAATAGAATACATAATTCAGGGGTGCATCAGCATTCCATGCTTTTGTATGATTTTGTCTGATTGAATAAAATTGAAATTGAAACATATGCGGCTCAATTTACAATAGTGGTTTATGAGCTCAATATTAAAACATTTTACAGTCTGTCTTGTGATGACTCTCAAGTTATCTAGAATACGTTATTTTTTAATAACCTGTATTTCATTTGTCCCCCAGCCATGGCCACGTGTTGTGGCACCCACCAAGGGGATTCTGGAGTCTGGAAAGGAAAGCCACCATCACCAGCTAAAAGAGAGGTGAGCAACACTTCGCTATTCTGACAATGATTCTTTTAGAATTATATTAATTTTAATGTCAATGTATCTATAATCAATGACATTTTATTTGCTGTGACTATCATGAAATAACTATATAGCCATAGTGCTTGAATATCCTTGCTGTATTATAATACTCACAATCAGCACGTCGGCAGCACATAGCATTTCGGCAGAATGTCTAATACAAGGTTGTATTCGCTCATATAAGGTTAGCATTTCGACAGTAGTTTCCAAATGTTGTGTCGGAAAGCATATTCTCTGCAACAGGCAAAATTCTGATGCAACGTTGACCAAAAACCCAACGAAAACGCGAAAATACGGGGTTCTGCACAGGCGTAGTACGTTCTGCCGACGTGCTCTCATAATCTATTCCACAGTGTAAACAAGTATACAAGACCGATACAAGACCGTTTTGGAGACAGTATACCAGTCAACGACACTACACGTCAATGTAAAACAACAAATAAACACAACAGTCTTAGAAGTAGCTAAGATGGTACACGATGACATCACATTCTGATAATTCGTTTTTATTCTGTCATTTCATGTCGTGAAGACATCGTGTGTCACAACGCTGGTCCACTACAAGAAGGCCGGGAGCACCTGGAGTACCATACACCTGGGCCATTGCCGCATCTGTACGGAGACCATCGCAGTGCTGCAGCACGGCGCAGTGTGTCAGGAGGACGGGTGTGCCACCTGTCTACAGATCGCTAGCGAAGTGGCCCAGCATATCGCCGGGTGCACCCGTGGTACACAGTGTCCCCTCCCTATCTGTGTCAGGGGTGTCCCCTTGGGTCTGGATGATGATGCGGGTGCGGGTGAAACGCCCGTGTTCGTGGGCCTGGTGCGTCTGTACCTCAGGCGCACGTTTCCCCTTTGCTAAAGCATGAGTATGCCCTCCCGATCAAAGTTGAACACCCAAACAAGGTTAATGGTAGGTCGGGGGTAAGGTCAAAATGTTAAAAACTTCCGGGTGTGAACAGGAGGTTCAACCATGATTAGGGGCTTGTTGATTGGTATTCGGCGGGGGGAGAGGTATTCGTGGCGTATTCCTTTTTACCTCCATGAAAAATGGAGGTATTGTTTTTGGCGTGTCTGTCTGTCTGTATGTATGTATGTATGTATGTATGTATGTGTGTCTGTCTGTCTGTGTTTCCGCAACATTGTGGTCAGCATAACTTCAGAACGCCTTTATGGATTATGATGGTATTTGGTATGTTGGTTAGTCTAAGGAAGACAAATGTCAAGGTCAAATATGGGCCTCGATCCTGGTGGATGACCTTGGTACTGCAGCAGAACTTCCGGTATTTGCATCTTTTGTCCTGAACATGCTATGGTCTTGATATTTTGGTGACGGATTGCTTTTCCTGTCAGAAATAAATGGTGTGAGTTTGGTCCCCCTAGCAGCTTGTTCTGGAACTGCAGGGCACTTTCTGGCGAAATGTTTAAAAGCCAATAAGTCCAGATAGGAACAACATATTTTCATAATTTTTGGTGTGTAGGTAGCTGAGAGAGAGAGAGATGTACATGATTAAATGCAAATTATGCAAATGAGGACTTTATTTGCATAATTAATGAGTAAATTCTATAATTACAGTGTTTTACATTATACTACTTTCATACATGTAATGTATGTAACCTATGGCAGGCAGAACATCAACAGATACTAATTATGCGAATGATGACCTAATTTGCATAATTTATGCAAAAATTCTATGATTTCTTAATGGTGAATGATGGGAATGTCATACTTGGGACATCTGTAACTTAATCAAAAGTTAACATACATCATGATGCATATATCATGTTAATGCAGAGGTAATTTGCATAATTAAAGAAGAAATTTACATTTACATATTAAGCCTATATTTCATGGAGGTATGGGGTCTCGGAATTCTTGTTGTCGATTTGATTTTGGCATTTTCTGGCATAGACTATCAAAATTGAGATGGTTAGTAACACCTAGACAAATGGAATATATTAGTTTTTTTTTTGTTCCTTTGATAGCTTGTAAAACCAAACTAAAGGATTTTAGTATGAAATGTATGTTATAAGTCAATAGCAATATCAAACATCGTTAGTAATACCAAGCATTGTGTAAGTCGATAGCATAGTACCAAGCATTGTTAGTACAATGTAATACTTTCCATATGAAAGTAATTTAGTTTAATTACTAGGATTTCAATATATTGACATCACTGCATGTAATCTTTCCCGTCTGTATTTACGTCATGCAGAATATAATAGATATGAAACAGATAGTATTATCTAATATTCTAGTTAAGTTTGAGCTTGCTGTGAAAAAGCTAATACCAGCTGTAGGTTTGAGAATAAGTAGTTGATGAATTATTGATTTTACAGAAATGATGAATTTGATTGATCATTAACATTTATCTCCGAGACGATATCTTCAGAGGCACTATCAGTTTGCCAAGCAGTATTTAGTTCTGCAACTTGATAGCGCATAGTCTCCAAAGAGATCTGCTTGGAGATTACTCTAGCATGGCTAAAGTAGGAAGATTACATCTGACTTAAATCAGCTTTCGACAAATGTTAATCTACATTTTTTGCTTTGAATAAACAATAGGTGTTTGCAAACCATGGGGTCCTTGCCCACTGTGTGTGAGTGTCATCAAACGTTATGCGTGAATCATATCAAGTATCACAAAAAAATCTAATTTTTGTAAGATACTTACTTAATTGATGATGCACACATCATATTTGATGATCGCCGTCCGTTGAAAAAGGTAGCCTGGGTACCATACTGGTTAGTTTACGTCGCTACCACAGTCGCTAACCAGGATGGCACCCAGACTATGAAAAAAGGGCCTTAGCAACAGAACCCCTGTCTTTACTTTAGTCAGCGTTATCACCTAACATAAACTAAAACGTTTAAACAGCGAGCAGATTATTATTGGACTGAGCAGAGCACTTTGGACTAGTCTCTCCTGCTGTTTACAGCTTTGAGGTACATAACCAATCTTTTGTCACAAACTTCTCTGTTACATAGCGGATCATAATGAGCCCCAGTGGGGGTCTTCACGCTTCGATAAAAATGTAAATATCTGAAGATTCATTGCAAAGATCTCAATATTTTAGACGAAACCTTGAGATCTTATGAGACAATCTCAAGATCTTTCAGAAAATCTTAAGATGAAAACTTAAGGTCTCAAGATCTTCCAAAATATCTTTAAACCATCTTGAGATTTTTTCATAGCATCTCAAGATGCTTAAAAGAAAAAAAGATTTTTTAAAGACCTCATGATTTATAAAGCAATCTTGAAAAAAAACGTTTAAATTGCTTTCTTAACTTGAGTTTTTCAACAATCATGATATTTTTAAAGCATCTCGAGATGCTATGAAAAAATCTCAAGATGCTTTAAAATCATATTGGAAAGATCTTAAGACCTTTCGTTTTCATCTTAAGATTTTCTGAAAGATCTTGAGATTACCACGAAAAATCTTAAGATTGTCTCATATGATTTCAAGATGTCGTCTAGAATATTGAGATCTTTGGAATATATCTTGAGATTTTTCCATTTTTAACGAAGCGTGAAGACCCCGCTGGGGTTCATTATGATCCGCTATGTAACAGAGAGGTTTTTGACCTCTAAGCTGTAAACAGAGAGATTATGATCCGCTATGTAACAGAAAGGTTTTTGACCTCAAAGCTGTAAACAGAGAGATTATGATCCGCTATGTAACAGAGAAGTTTTTGACCTCTAAGCTGTAAACAGCCTGAGAGATTATAATTATGATCCGCTTTGTAACAGAGAAGTTTTTGACCTCTAAGCTGTAAACAGCCAGAGAGATTATGATCCGTTATGTAACAGTGAAGTTTTTGACCTCTAAGCTGTAAACAGCCAGAGAGATTATGATCCGCTATGTAACAGAGAAGTTTTTGACCTCTAAGCTGTATACAGCCAGAGAGATTATGATCCGTTATGTAACAGAGAAGTTTTTTACCTCTAAGCTGTGAAAAGCCAGAGAGATTATTCCAAAGTTCTCTGCTCAGTCCAATACTAATCTGCTCGCTGTTTCATTATCCCCAGTACCATATGATGTCGCAGAGTAGGATCTCCAAGTAAGGTTATGTAAGTAACTTAAGACGAAGCCGCATGCGACTAATTATAAGGAAACTTGACTGTGTACAAACTTGTTACGAAATATAACATGCTGCTTTTGCCTCCTATATGCTGTAAACTGAATTATTAAGTAACCGAGCGTACTCGGTAAACGACCGTCCGGTCATTGAGGGGTAACTGTTATGCTTTAATAACACGTTTTGTTTAGTAACCATCTTTATGACCAGTGTTTTACCCACGAATTCGTAATCTTAATAAGTATTTTATTCAGCAATGCAAACTTATTAACACTTATAACTCTACTTTAATAGATTTTATCATACGTGTATGAGTTGTAATAGATGTTGTTTATTTTAAACCTTTTAAATGGCCACGTCTTTAGTCTTAATCTTTGTAATTGTGAGCAAAAGTGCAATTCAGAACCCCCGGGTTCTGCAAAACTGTTTTACATTGACATCAATAAACCAGTCATATGTAAACATGCTGGCAAGCTAGCTGAAATGTATTTACAGTGTTCATTGTTTTCTTATTGTTGTAATAATTGTTTGTGTTATTTGTGATTAACCTGCCTGTCTTGTATTGATATTTGTCTCCATACAAAGGACAGTAAACAATGAACATACTTCATTCTTATGGCTTAGCACTACCAATTCAATAATAAAAAGAGTATGCAAGGTTTTCACACAAGTAGAATATACCCCTTCTGCAGTGACCATGGAGGTAAAATTAGATATACTAACAATTCTCAAATGTAATGCTTTTTTCCAACAGCACTTCCTGCTTTTCAACGAAACATAGGTAATAATAGAAAAGGAAGCTCGCTATACATGGTTGTCATAAAAACAAAATATGGATGGTAAAATTAATTTACCGAGAAAAACGTCTCGTAGTTTTGAAGTGGGAGACAAAGAGAAAAAAGAAAAGAACAGAGAATCCGAAGGTAGTTTTGAACTGAATTCTGAACTGAGTATAATATATGGTAATGTATGGGGATATGTCTGGTAAAAATTCTCCACTACCGTTGCCCGCAAGCAAGTATAAATATTTGGATCAGGGTAGAAAAGTATTATTGCTCTAAGTTCTGGGCTGCAACGCACCGCACCGAATGTCCCCCCGCCTCGCCTATCTTGACATGGGAGACAACGAGAAGAAACAGGTGGTTGGACGCTATGAAGAATCGGACAGAAGGTTCGAAGACGTGGATCCGGCTGGCTATAGTATCTTTGCATTAGGTTCTGGGCTGCAACGCACTGCACCAAATGGACCCCCACCTCGCCATCTTGACATGAAAGACAATGAAAAGGACGAGGTCGGCATACGGAACGAAGAATCGGACAGAATGTACGAAGATGTGGATCCGGCTGGTGAAAGTATCTTCACATTAGGTTCTGGGTTACAACCCGCTGCACCTAATGAACCTAAATATGTCGACATGGAAGGCAAAAAGAAGAAAAAAGTCGACAGAAGGAATGAAAAATCGGACAGAAAATACGAAGATGTGGATCCGGCTGGTGAAAGCATCTTTGAAGAGACGGGTGAAATGGGTGAGGACATGTCTGGCGGTGTCGATGTGATAATAAACTCTGGATTGAAACGTCCTGTGCCCGACCTTCCCCCTCCTCGCAACTCCGACGCTGGAGACCGCATGGCTGAGGACAAGCGATCGGAGGAACCTTGCTCAGATCCGTGCAACGAACAAGTGGACAATGCTGGACACAATGCTGGAGGTATGTCAAGTTTCAAGTAACTTGCAAAACATGTATCTGTACAATTTTTGCACCTCTAACTAAAAGTTTTTTTTAATATCTAGTGCACTGAGGGTGCTCCCACTGACTAAATGGTGGCATCGATTTTCATTTGGAATAGTTCTAGAAAAATGTGTTTTAAACATATTTAAATCCGGGGCTGATAATTCTGTTGGTTGGTATCCCACGCGCAGCGTGGCAGCAGCTTGTCATTACACTTAACGACCAATCTTTGTTGCCTAACGGCATTTCTAACTGCAGGTGCTGTTTAAAACTATACGGTATTGTGAGGATGCCCCAAATTGGTGGCAACGAGTTCCACTCTAAAATGTTTCTAGGAGAATAAGTTCTAAACATCTTGATCCCAGGTTGATAATTCAAAGACTGAGATTTTAATACTATATGGCCCAAATTCTTGTACAATACCCCTTTTGCTTGTGTAATATTATAGTATGAGTTTAAACTATATGTGTGTGTTTATTTTTTATGCATATTGTATAAAGAATGACGTCTGTCCTTGTTTAAAATTAGTCTGGTACTGTTCACACTATTGAGCATTTGTTTATATCTTATCCTTGCTCTTATCCATGATACTCTCAAAGTCTACTCGCAAGAGAACTAAAAGTATTTTTGCCAAGAAAACTTTTTGTCATGTTTTCATTTTCATTCATAACAGCTTCTTATGTTTGTCATATTTTACATTTTGAGTGTCAAAGGATGGACTGTGCTTTCCCCGAACCCTGGATAAAACCAACATTAATACCCCCGTCACATTGCGCGTAAATCGATCGGCCGACTAGTTGGCGACCTCTAAACGACATTTACGGCCGTAGTACGCCCGATGTTCCGTCGAGCATCGCGCGAATTTTCGGGATCGCCGGCGATTTTTTGGAGTCGGCCGAAGCTCGCTGACACGCGAAACGTGTCCTTAATGCCCCCGTCACATTGTCGACGAGCTTCGGCCGTATTTGTCAATCGCCGAAAGATCGGCCGATTTTGAGATCGAACGACGATCGCGCGTATTTTTGGCTTGAAAATCGTCGCGGTCACATTGTGCGAGGCTCGGGCGATCGCTTGGCAATACATCTATGATAATGAAGTCCCTATGACATGGCACGCAGAAGAAGCAAGGCCGTGTATCCACCAAAAATGAATAGTTTAACCAATTTTTATGTTTGACCTGTCGTCATATTTTTTTAAGCAAAGTAATGGAGCGGACTGGCAGAATAAAATAGAAATACAAACAGGAATTCTGTGAAGGATCCAACTCAAATACTACCACAAGAGCCACAAATTTACACTACCGTCTGTTTAACACAACGACCACCTTCTTAACCAGACAGGAGTCGGCCGAAGCTCGCTCGACACACGGGCGTACGTCGCCCGAGTTACGGTCGACGATCTATCGATGCTCGCACGATCTATAGACCATTCAACCAAAACGTACAACAAGAAATAATGATTATTATCATATCAAAATCTTTTTATACACAGATACCTGAACAAAGCTAATAAGATATATTGTTCTAAAACTTTGCCTGTATTCTTCTGTCTAAAATAGTATGAATCTTTCGGTAAACAAGCCATTCAATGTCAACAAAGTAGACAGAGGTAAAAAGACCTATGCAATATAAACTTCAACTAGTAAGTAATATCTATCACATGACGTTCTTTTGGGCACCCTAAGAAAAAAGTAAACCTCATTCCAGGATGAACAAGTGTAAACGTCAATTTATTATACAATCTTCTGAAATAAGGCCACACACCTCCTAAAGGGACAAGAGTAAAGAATTCCATTGCGTTCAATCAGTTGAGGTCAAAATCTAGGCATTTGGCCTTATATAGTTAAAACCTCGTCATCTTTTTAAAGTGGTTTTGTTCATTAACGAATGGACAAAAAGGACGATTTTGTCTATTCTTATCCTTTCTCGTAAACATAACTTTAACAATCAATGGGACGTTGCTCCTACAAACTTTACACAGTATATATACTGTCAATGCAATCTGAAATAAATGTCACAGGTGCTGAATAAATAATAACTTCACAGGAGCTCGGCCGAGGCTCGTAGAACCTTCGTCCGACACTGGCACGAAGCTCGCTCGAAGCACGCACGATTTTAAAAACTTTGCGCAAGTCGGGCGAGGTACGAAAGAGGGTCGTCCGAACATTTCGCGAAGCTCGCGCGAGGGTCGACCGTATTCAGCGACCGTCGCCCGATTTTCGAAGACGAAATACGGCCGAGACTCGTGGGATGTACGTCCGAATATCGGTCGACTCTCGGCCGCACAGGGGCGAGCTACGTCCGAGCTAGGCGCGAGCTGGAAACGAGCTCTGCGATCTCAAAAATCGCCGGCGACTAGTCGCTGATGTTAAGAACATGTTTCGCGTGTCAGCGAGCTTCGGCCGACTCCAAAAAATCGCCGGCGATCCCGAAAATTCGCGCGATGCTCGACGGAACATCGGGCGTACTACGGCCGTAAATGTCGTTTAGAGATCGCCAACTAGTCGGCCGATCGATTTACGCGCAATGTGACGGGGGTATAACATCAGCGACTAGTCGCCGGCGATTTTGAGGTCGCAGAGCTCGTTTCCAGCTCGCGCGTAGCTCGCCCGTAGCTCGTCCCTGTACGGCCGAGAGTCGACCGATATTCGGGCGTACATCCCACGAGTGTCGGCCGTTCTTTGTCTTAAAAAATTGGGCGATGGTCGCCGAATACGGTCGACCCTCGCGCGAGCTTCTCGAAATATTCGGGAGACCCTCTTCCGTACCTCGCCCGACTTGCGCAACGTTTTTAAAATCGTGCGTGCTTCGAGCGAGCCTCGTGCCAGTGTCGGACAAAGGTTCTACGAGCCTCGGTCGAGCTCCTGTGAAGTCATTATTTATTTGGCACCTGTGACATTTATTTGAGATTGCATTGACAGTATACTGTGTAAAGTTTTCAGGAGCGACGTCCCACTGATTGTTAACGTTATGTTTACGAGAAAGGATAAAAATAGATAAAATTGTCCTTTTTGTACTTTTGTTAAATCAACATTTGTTAACACTTTAAAAAAATTAAAAGGTTTTAACTATATAAAGTCAAATGCCTAGTCTAGATTTTCAACCCAACTGATTGAACGCAAATGAAATCCTTTACTCTTGTTCCTTTAGGAGGTTGTATTATAAATTGACTTTTACACTTGTTCATTCTGGAATAAGGTTGACTTGTTTCTCATGGTGGCCACAAGAACGTCATGTGATAGAGAGATATTACTTACTAGTTGAAGTTTATATTGCATGGCTCTTTTTACCTCCGTCTTCTTTGATGCCATTGAATGGATAATAAACTTGTTTACCGGAGGATTCATACTATTTTAGACAGAAGTAGATCTATAGAGGTTAAGGTTTAGAATAATATATCTTATTGGCTTTGTTCAGGTACACGTATACGTGCATAAAAAAGATTTTGATATAATGATAATCATTATGCTGTTGTAAATTTTGGTTGAATTGTCTAAAGATCGTGCGAGCGTCGATAGATCATCGACCGTAACTCGGGCGGCATACGCCAGTGTGTTGCACGAGCTTCGGCCGACTCCCGTTTGGTTAAAAAGGTGATCTTTATCTTAACCTTCGGTAATGTCCCTGTCACATTGTCGACGAGCTTCGCCGTATTTGTCAATCGCCGAAAGATCGGCCGATTTTGAGGTCGACCGACGATCGCGCGTATTTTTGGCTTGAAAATCGTCGCTGTCACATTGTGCGAGGCTCGGGCGATCGCTTGGGAATACATCTATGATAATGAAGTCCCTATGACATGGCAAGCAGGTGAAGCAAGGCCAGTGTATCCACCTAAAAATGAATAGTTTGGCCAATTTTTATGTTTGACCTGTCGTTATATTTTTTAGCAAAGTAATGGAGCGGACTGGCAGAATGAAATATAAATATAAACAGGAATTCCGTGAAACATACAACTCAAATACCACCACAAGAGCCACAAATTTACACTACCGCCTGGTTAACACAACGACCACCTTGTAACCAGACAGGAGACGGCCAAAGCTCGCTCGACACACGGGCGTACGTCGCCCGAGTTAAGGTCGACGATCTATCGATGCTTGCACGATCTCTAGACCATTCAACCAAAACGTACAACAAGACTTAATGATTATCATTATATCAAGTCAACCTCATTCCAGAATGAACAAGTGTAAATGTTAATTTATTATACAATCATCTGAAATAAGGCCACACACCTCCTAAAAGGACAAGAGTAAAGGATTTCATGTGCGTTGTTCAATCAGTTGAGGTAAAAATCTAGGCATTTGGCCTCATATAGTTAAAACCTCGTCACCTTTTTAAAGTGCTTTTGTTTATTAACGAATGTTGATGTAACAAAAGGACAGAAAGGACGATTTTGTCTATTTTTATACTTTCTCGTAAACATAACGTTAACAATCAGTGGGACGTTGCTCCTGAAAACACAGTATACTGTCAATGCAATCTCAAATAAATGTCACAGGTGCTGAATAAATAATAACTTCACAGGAACTCGTCCGAGGCTCGTAGAACCTTCGTCCGACACTGGCACGAAGCTCGCTCGAAGCACGCACGATTTTAAAAACTTTGCGCAAGTCGGGCGAGGTATGGAAGAGGGTAGCCCGAACATTTCGCGAAGCTCGCGCGAGGGTCGACCGTATTCGGTGACCGTCGCCCGATTTTCAAACACGAAATACGGCCGAGACTCGTGGGATGTACGCCCGAATATCGGTCGACTCTCGGCCGCACAGGTACGAGCTACGAACGAGCTGGAAACGAGCTCTGCGACCTCAAAAATCGCCGGCGACTAGTCGCTGATGTTACGAACACGTTTCGCGTGTCAGCCAGCTTCGGCCGACTTCAAAAAATCGCCGGCGATCCCGAAAATTCGCGCGATGCTCGACGGAACATCGGGCGTACTACGGCCGTAAATGTCGATTAGAGCTCGCGGACTAGTCGGCCGATCGATTTACGCGCAATGTGACGGCCGCATAATGTAAATTTGTGGCTCTTGTGGTAGTATTTGAGTTGTTTCTTTCACAGAATTCCTGTTTATATTTCTATTTTATTCTGCCAGTCCGCTCCATTACGACAGGTCAAACATAAAAATTGGCCAAACTATTCATGTTTAGGTGGATACACTGGCCTTGCTTCATCTGCTTGCCATGTCATAGGGACTTCATTATCATAGATGTATTCCCAAGCGGTCGCCCGAGCCCTGCACAATGTGACAGCGACGATTTTAAATACGCTCGATCGCCAAAAATACGCGCGATCGTCGGTCGATCTCAAAATCGGCCGATCTTTTGGCGATTGACAAATACGGCCGAAGCTCGACGACAATGTCACAGGGGCATTACGGCGATCTTACGGCACAGCAATGTTGAAATATATCGTCGAAGTTCATCTTGTGAAGTTCACCTAAATTAGATTGTTTTTATATGTCGTCGGTTTATAGACAGCTATTATTACCTCTAGGATGCGTCAAGGGATCTTGATGACACTTTATGTTTATGCAGTAAAGCTTCGGTCCCAATTGTGCCGGTGCCCGTCGGAAATGTAGCCCCGGTCGGTCCCGGTCCGGCTCAGGAGTAGGGCGGGCATCGGCTGTCGAGGTCACAATTAAAAGTTTCCTTCAGTAGCATTTTGTTAAACATTTTGTCACCCTCTTTGGTCGGTCTCCGGCAGGCACCCGGCAGGTACCCGGCATATTCTCTGACAATGCCTTGTACTGACCTGTACGTAATGCAGAATTCACGCTTTTGTTGTGATCATTTGATCTGTGACGTCACACATTTTACCCGGTTTATGAAGCACACACCTTTATTCTGTTCATCTGGTCTGTGACGTAAAAATGTATCCCGCTGGACTGTCGGCAACCGTGGGGGTACCTCCCGGTGTTCTTACTGTGAGGTCACGGCGTCTTTTTATCGACGGGGCCCGGGTAGAATTTAAGTTAGAATTAAATTCTTCTTGGGTCCCCGCCGGGCCCAAAAATAGTCCGGTAGCCGCAGGGTGTCTCGCGGGGCCACGTAGGGGCCACGCCCGAAAGTGCCATAAAATAACCCGGGAACTACACAGGGCCCCCTTTTTCAATTGGGACCGAAGCATAAATGCATTGGTGACTAAAAGAAGGACACTGTTTATCGTGGCATGTGCCCCATAGTGATTTTTAATGGCAATGAAACTCTGAACATGTTTTTTTTAGTTTTAGGACATTCGGCTCGTTGCAATCCATATCTAGATTCTTGTTGTGGAAATGTGATATCATTAGTCCACTGTAAGCTACTGGCATTTTTTTCGTCGTAAACAAATATTTGTTTTATGTTTCCATTCATACTCATCAAAATGACATCTAGTTAAAGTGATAGCCAAAACATTGACGTTTGGTTTTTCGGCTCGTTCCAACCCAGATCTAAGCTTCATCGGTGAAATTATGGCATTGAATCATTCCAGATGCTACCCCTTCTCACAAACTCGATATGGGAGACCACATTGTGATGTTTCCAGAGCAAAAGGATGATCCATACTCAGATCCATACTACAAACCCCAGGAGACTGATGCAAATGAAAAGCATGAGGAAAAACGGTTCAGTATCAAAGGTACGAAGGGGGTTGAACCAAGTCATAACCAGAGTTTCTTTTTTTAACCTGTGTTGTTTATTACACTTGTGATAAATCTCTTTGCATCGTTACTGGTAAGATTTCTGGTGAAGTGATATCTAAAATTGTCAGCGGTCGGTAGAAAATACGTTCTTTTTATCACAACCATTTATTTTTTAAGCCGACGTTTCGATGACCTTCTGTCATCTTCATCAGAGCAATTCTGACTGGTTTACTGTGCACTGACACTAGATGTTACTTGGTGCATAGTGCACTAAAGGTGTTACATAGTTCATAGTGCACTTAAGCTAGTTTTTTGTTCTGTTTACAATACATTCCGGACCGTAGTGTAATTGTGACATATATACTAGGCATTGTTACATCATAGGGAAATATGCGGATCCAAATGTTAAGTGTTTCTATATATAATATAAGATTTGTTAACTGACAATACTGAGCTATCACAGTCCCAAATAGAAATTCTTAAAAGTTTTGTTACATATGTATTGTTAGGACTTATAATAGTTACAAACAATAAGAAAACCAATGTCAGTTATTAAGAATGTGATCCCAAACATGACTAAGTTTATACCCCCCATCATCACGGTTCATGACTTGATTGGATTTTCCCATCCATACAGACTCCTTAATCTAACGGATACATCTGTTGTCCTCTCGGTCTATTACCTTGGCCCCGTCCCAATCTATTACACAGTTATTTCTTGTAATGTGGTCTGTGACTGCTGACTTGTTTTTCAGCTTCTTTCTTTCTTTCTCTGGTGTACCTTCCCATCTTGACGCTGCCTGCCTCTTTCCTAGTATGTTCTTCTATTCCAAATGTTCTTCTTGTCTCCCCTATGTATACTTTCTTGCAAGCCATGCATGGTATCTTGTAAATGCAATCTGTTTTCACTGAGCCCAACTGAGTCTTCAAGTTTGTCTTTGGGATGTACCAGTAGGTTTCTTAAGGTAGTTCTGGGTCTGACTGCTGTAGCTATGTTGTGTTTCTTTAATATTCTTTCCAGTGGTTCTGTGACTCCTTTTATATAGGGCAGAGTCAGTCTACCTTTAGACTTCTCCTCCTGTTTCTTTTTGTCTTCTGTTTGGGTCTGCTTTTTTGATGTTCTACTTTTCTGAATGTCCAGTCTGGATAGTTACGTAATATTCAAGAAACAACATATCTACAGCAGTCAGACCCAGAACTACCTTAAGAAAACTACTGGTACATCCCAAAGACAAACTTGAAGACTCAGTTGGACTCAGTGAAAACAGATTGCATTTACAAGATACCATGCATGACTTGCAAGAAGGTATACATAGGGGAGACAAGAAGAACATTTGGAATAGAAGAACATACTAGGAAAGAGGCAGGCAGCGTCAAGACGGTAAGGTACACTAGAGCAAGAAAGAAAGAAGCTGAAAAACAAGAAAACAAGTCAGCAGTCACAGACCACATTACAAGAAATAACTGTGTAATAGATTGGGACGGAGCCAAGGTAATAGACCGAGAGGACAGCAGATGTATCCGTTGGATTAAGGAGTCTGTATGGATTAGAAAATCCAATCAAGTCATGAACCGTGATGGGGGGGGGGGTATAAACTTAGTCATGTTTGGGATCACATTCTTAA